ACAGTGTTAATTAGAGATGTCGCGCACTGTCCGTGAACTTGCCGCGAACGGTTCGCCGCGAACTCCGGTCAGCTGACACATCCCTGCCAATCTCCGGCAGACCCTCCCTCCCAGACCCTCCTACTTCCTGGACAGCATCCATGTTGAAGGCAGCTTCAACATGGTTGCTGTCCAGGAGGTGGGAAGGTCTGGGAGGGAGGGTCTGCCGGAGATTGGCAGAGATGTGTCAGCTGACCGGAGTTCGCCGCGAACTGTTCGCGGCAAGTTCGCAAACGGTTCGCAACATCACTAGTGTTAATGCTGTGATCAGCACTGAAAGGGTTAAACATTTTTTTATTTTTTTTTATTTTTATTTTACTGAAGTTTTACAATTATTTCTCCTACAGGGACCACCAGCAATGATCTCTCTGCCTCTCTCTCTCAGATCGAAGTGAGGTGAGGAGAGGGGCAGAGACAATGTGTCAGCTAGTGATTAAAAATCATTGGCTGACACATTGTAACAGTGATCGTAGTGACTGGCTGTCACTGCGATCACAAACTTCAGATCGCCACTGATCGCCCCCCACCGCCTACTGCATTTTGGGAGGGATCGGGGAAATGTGGGTGGGCTTAAACGCTGCGGTGTGCTATGCTGCCCTAACAGCGTTTAAGCCCATTAACACCGGGACGGTATAGCACGCCGTAATGGAGTTAACGGGTTAAACACAGGTGAGGGTGACATCAGAAGCATAGGCGGGGCCTGATCGGTGAAACTGCAAGTGCTGCACTTTGTATCTGCCATCAGTCACAGCCTTCTTAAACCCTTTTAGTAAAGTGAGATCTAATGTTTACACTTCCTTTATTGCAAATTGTGTTTAATTTAGAATGTATTTTCTCTGTTAATAGCTTGCTAGACGCTACAGGAGCATCCTGTATATAATTAATGTTCAATTTACACAGCAGAAGATAAAAACTTTTAAAGTAAGTTAATATCTGATTAAAAATGAAACCATTCCCATGCTGGTTGTGTCAGTCACAGCAGGGGAGGTGTCACTAGGCCTGCATGAACAGAAACAAACTGATTTAACTCTTAAATGGCAGAAAATTGATCAGAAAATTGATCAGTGGAGGCATGATCTATACACAAAACCTTTTTTGGTGACTATATTTTCCTTGTAAGTGAGATTTGGAAAGAAAGAACTAATATCAATGGAGGAAATTTTACTGGAACAGAATGTTGTATTTAACTGTTGGATAACCAGGCAAGGATGCAAGGATAATCATCACAGATAGCAATAGTGTGATGGGCTTTGAACTGGGTACAATTCCCTATCGAGCAGGAGATATCTACTGGTGTGTACTAAGGTGCTTATGTCAGAAAAAAGATAAATAACAATTACAGGTAGAGGTAGCAAGGCTTAAACATACTCAGACTTCCCTTCAGTGGGAAAAGTTAAGACAATAATTAGTTACTTAAACCCTTTGCAGGGGTGGGCCCACTATGTTTAATATGCCCTATTGGGCACTATGGAGAAGGTGGTGGTGGCTCCCCCATTTAGATTAAAACATGTAAAAAAAAAAAAAAGTTCACCTCACCTGATCTTCCGCACCTCTTTCAACTTCACAGGGGCTGCATGTGGTCCAACCACTGGCTTCTCATAGAGAAGTCTGTGATTGAACCTATTTTTGACCAAAGCACATGTGCATGCTCCGGGTCAGTGAGCATAAGGAAGGAAGTGAAGGGAGGTGGGAAAGAGGAGGCAGACTTTTTTTTTTTAAAGGAAATAAATGTACAATGGAGGGAGGCGAGGGGGAGCGCCTAAAGGCGTGGGAGTGGGAGAGCTAGCTTTGGGGAAGATTTCTATTTCTGTTGTTAGCATGCAGTGCTTGCTAAAAAAAAAATGTGAAGTATGCACAGAATTGACATTGACATAGAATTCTGGGCTGCCAGTGTCATGTGTGCTGGTGGAGAGACTAGCTTCCAGCACACAAGGGCAAATATCTCAGTATGTGCATTGTTTCAAACTGAATCACTGCATGTACTTACTCCTACCACCACGGCCACTTAAAATCCCTGAAATGGCCATGTTGGTTGGAGTAATCCTTTAAAACAGCTCAGTATTTTAAGGCAAATATAGAACGTTTGTGTGGGTTTTCTGGGCCTGGTCCAGAGTCTAGTTTATTCTGAACAGCCACAGGCATACTTTTGTTTTTTAAATACTGTCATCTCAAAAAAATTGGTCTTCCCTGGTTTACTCCCTACACAGAAACAGAGAACACCATAGAGACTCTCAGTTTTTTGTTTTTTTTCAAAACCTGTCTGGTGCATGTTTATGACTGATCCTATCATATACTAAAGGTGGGGATAATTTTTACTATATGTTTTTTTAAATACACTAAAAAAACTATCTATTGCCTCTGAAAGCTTGAAGAAATAATTATTTTGTTTAAAAAATTAGTTTACAGTTGAAAATGAGTGACAGTTCTGTGAATCTCTAAATGGAAAATACTTTTTTTGGGGGAGGACCGGGATCATAGTCACAGGGTGGATGGGTGCAACTGAGCATGAGGTAATGGCTGTACACAGAGTAAACATGAAGCCAGACGAGGACAAAGTCTTTATACATTATTAGACTTTCACGTTGGTCACATGTGGTGACAATGGTGAAAGATTCAAGAAAGGACATGAGGCATTGATGCAGGTGGTGATTAACAGTGGTGGCTTCGAGAGTTTCATAATGGCAATCAGTAAGAAATGGACTGATTGCAAGAGTCTCAATCTTACCACATGCTACACTGATCAGCAACAACATTAAACCCACTGACCGGTGAAGTGAATAACATTGATTGTATTGTTACAATGGTACCTGTCAAGAGGTAGGATATTTAGGCAGCAAATGAACAGTGGGTTATTGAATTTCATGTGTTGGAAGCAGGAAAAATGGGTGCGCAAAACGATCTGGGTGACTTTGACAAGGGTCAAATAGTAATAGGTAGATGACTGGGTCAGAGCATCTCTGAAATGGTAAGTCTTGTGAGGTGTTCCCAATATGCTGTGGTTAGTACCTACCAAATGTGGTGCAAAGGCAATAGGTGAACCGGCATGATGGTCATGGGTGAATAAGGTTATTGATGCATGTGGAGAGTGAATACTTGTCCAATCACACAGAAGAGCCTCACATTTCTAAAAAAAAAATTTAAGTTTTATGCTCATACATATTTGTAAATCATTTTCTAGTGGTTTTAGGAATGCACAATTCACGTTGCAGCTGAATAAAAATATTATGACTGCATTTGGGCATAATGCTTTTATGTATCAAAAACATTTGTCTAGTCTAAAACAATTCCAAAGAGCACTGTACCCTGTTACGGCATACATATCTGGCAAAAAGCATTCAGTGCCCCACCTCACCTTTTCCTATCACTTGCA